CCTAAAAACTGCAGTCACAAAGACAGAATGGCAGCCTAAAATTTAAAAAAATTAAAGGTATGGCTGTATAGTGCATCATAAGTGCAATGTAGACATGATTAAGCTGGTTTCAAATAAATTTAGGAATTGTTTAGCACAGACCTTTGGCTTTCTCAGTCAAAATTATTTTACTCAGAAAAGAGATAAATTAGCTTACCATGTGCTATCATAACTAGGCTGTGTCTAATACCTAGGTACCTCACCATCCCAAAAGACTTCAGCTCCCATATGTAAACATGGAGACAATGCTAATTTTGCAATAACCTGTTTCCTTCACATTTTGTTGATAGAACATAATCAGCAGCTGAAATGGACCACCAGGGAAGGACTTTTGTTGTATAGAACATGCCTTTCACAGATGATATCAAGTGTGCATGGAACACAAAACTATTTAAACATACTCTGCCATAATCTATCACTAGAGTAAAATGGATACATAGCTTATAGTTTTATTTGCCTTGTTTAAATACAGCAGGTCTGAAAGTGCATTTCAATGAAGTCTAGCTAACTGAAAATGCATTGCTTGTTTCTAATATTTTCTTTTATTTAAACAAAGAAATCAGAAAGCTGTCAGTAAGTTAGTAACCTGAATTTATCTGGGTAAAGTCAGGCAAAGGTAGATCTTATCTTTAATTCTTCCATCTCTCTATCTCTAGCCAGTAGAAGGACACACTGGGCCTGGATCATTTAAATTATGCCACCAAAAAAGCAGTTCACCTATTGGAGATTGTGATGCACAGTGGCAGTGGGGCCACACTGGCTTCTCTGTCCCCTGTAGAGTAATACCTGAGTAGCTGACTATGCTGCTTTTGTAGCTTTCTTGTCCTATGAACTGGTTTAAAAGACCTATATCAGGTACCAGTATTTGTAGTATTTGGAGCTCCCCTTTCCATACCTAATTAACCCTGCTAGCGCGAGCTCACTCCCACATCTTTGGGCAGACAGCTGGGCAAAATACAGTATTACAACTGTCATTTTAAATTATATGTGTGGGCTGGACCAACCAGTATGTTGGTACTGACGAACTGGCAGGATATCAAACAGGCACAAACTATCCCTTCCTTTGATCAGTTCTAACATTTCCACATTAGCACAGCCCCTCTCTTATATCTGGATCCCTCCTGTTAATCTCAAGACTTGAAATTTGTTATCTTCTGGAGACCCTCACGCATCAGTTAGATTTGACTGCAGCTCACCAACAGGTGGAAAACTATCAGGAAGAGAATAGCAGAGGATTGGGCATCCAGGCAGACCACACACATCACATAGAATCTTTTCAGGAGGAAAGCAGGCCAGGACTTCACCAGTAGAATACTGGCAAAGGTGGAAGAAAGCTATAGGATGTATTTTCTGTACTCAGGAAGGCTGAACTGGAAGATATAGCCCCAATACCTACCTTCCTGTTAGCTGAGAGATTTTATTATGAGACAATGAATTTACAGTGATTGTCGCAGGTGTAAATATTAAGATATAAATTACAATTCAGCATATGTTACAATCTGCTCAGAACAATACACAGTAAAATAAATACTCGAGGAAAATAACTAGTATTTAATTTGACTGTGGCAGGAGAAGCCTTTTGAATATGCACATAGCAGATCTTCCTGGATGAGGAGATCCAGAGGTAGTACTGAAGTGTTAGTATTTACAAGATTACTGGACAAATCCCATGAAAATAAACAAATTGAGGTAAGTGTTGGAGTAATAGACAATGAATGTATAATGAGTATAAAATTCTGGTGTTCAGACCAGTTGTGTTTTCAAGTTTTCCTCTGCAACAATGAACTTACACAACAACATTTGACTGCTGACTTAGACAAGTGGCTGGGAGAGCAGTCCCCTTTATGGAAGACACTGTCAAAAGCTTTTGGTTGTTGTGAAATCCTAGTAGTATCCTTCCCTTGTGGAAGGATTATGTGTATGCCAAAGAGGCAGACTGAGAGGATTGTTTAAACAAGGACTGAGATAAGCCCATGTGTTTCCAAGAGCAGAAGACACTCAACGTGACCATAAGCGGAGTTACCAGCTGGGTTTGTCTCCAGAATATGCTTTTATAAGCTTTAGAAATTGGGTGAAAATTATCAGTTATAATTGTTTAATAAAAAAGTAGCTAGTGCTTACAGTCAAGGAGATAGGATTGCACCACAATTAGAGATTGCTACTGCAACTAGTTGGGATGCCCACAGCCATGAATGAATGTGCAGTGGTCTTCTTGCCACTACAGCTGGCCACACATCATAGAATTATAGAATAAAGTGGTTGGGTTGGAAGTTCTCTCCCCTGGACCTGTTCCAAGGTCCATGCCTTTCCTGTGGTGAGGGCTCCAGAGCTAGGTATAGAAGCCAGAGGAGAAGAATCACCTTCCGCAACCTGCTGACCTTATGGGTTTTTTTATGCAGTCCAGCGTGCAATTGTCTTTCTGGGCTGCAAACACACCTTCGCCAGATCGTGTCCCGCTTTTCATACACCAGTACCACCAAGTCCTTCTTCACAAGGCTGCTCTCAATCCATTCAGACAATCCATTGGGAAGACCCTATGTGTGCACTTGCACTGCCTGCCTAAGAAGAAATCCAAAGTGCTGTACCTTCGCCGTCTAGCCCTCAGCCTCATTTTTTATGGTCTATGATTTTTGGCACGTGCCAGACACCTGCTGTAGAGCGGGTGCGGGGGCCGGAGGCCGGCCTGCACAGCCTAGTGGAGCCCAAGGGAAAGGATCCCCGCGGCCGAGACCGCGAGAGGCCGCGAGAGACCGGGCGAGGCCGGGCGGGGCCGGGCGGCCATTTCACCGCCGCCTCCATCCCGCCCGCCGTTGCCAGGGGGACCGGGGCAGCGGCTCCCCCGCCCCCGGCCCCGCCCCGCGGCCAATTGAGGGGCGGCGGCGGCCGAGCGAGGTTCCCTTTGTTCAGCCATTTCGGGGGCCGGAGCGGCGCCGCTAGGAGCTGTGGAGGGAGAGGTCGGGCCGCTCCCTCGCCACTCCCCTGCCGCCGGGCTCTGGGATGGTGTGGGTACGTGTCCGGGCTGCGAGGGGCGGGCTGAGACGTCCCATACCCGGTAGTCGCCGTCGCATGCCCCGGCCAATGTCAGGGGCCTCCGTGCCGCTTGGGGCGGGGAGCCGTGGGGTCCCGGCCCTGGGCTGCCTCTTCCGCTCCTACCGGGATGGATGGATGGATGGATGGATGGATGGATGGATGGATGGATGGATGGACGGACGGACGGGGCAGGCGGCGGCTGGAACTCGAGGACCCGGGCAGACCCCCGAGATATCCCCTCCCGCCCCCGTTTCCCCCGGCTCCTCCCGGTGTCCTGGCTGGCGCCGTCTCTGCAGCATTGTAGCGGAAAGTGAAAGTCGCTTCAGGATAGAGGAACGTGGCCCTATTTCCTACCGTGGTTTCTGGCGTGCGTGGGGTCCGTCCTGTACAGATTTGCATAGGTGGGGCTTTAAAGTTTTATTCCGAAATATTAGAGAAGCGAGAAATCTCGTGTTTGTCTAGTGCTTTCGTTTGCATAGGAGGATTATTAATTTAGGTACATTGACAGTGGAAATTGACAGTGGAACTTATGAACCTTCTGTGGGGCGACTGTAAAAGGACAGAAATGCTTTCTGGGTTGGTACAAGTGGCTTAATTAGTCTGCAAGATATTTATTTCCTTGCTGTGAAGGTTGTCATTCCTCTCACTTGACTTTCTGCTCAAGACCTGAGAAATCCCCTGCTGTGAGGATTGTTCTGCGATGTATTCAGGCCACCACAGCTTCTTAACCTATTCGCTTCTTCTCTTGCATAGTTAACTGGTCTTTAATGTGGCATTCAAATATATCGAAGGTGTGGTTAAATCCTTACAGCACACATTGAACAAAAAGTTAACTTGTGTTCCTTCTGTAAATGAGTAATTGAACAGAAAAAGTAGTCGTATGCCTGAACTCTTAAAATGAACCTTTGATAGAATTGGAAGCTGAGCCCATAAGTCTTCATTCTGCATCTGCTGTGTGAAGTGTAGTTATTTTTGAGTGATATGTGGGAGGATGGAGGAAAGGTGCCTACAGTTGGGAAGTTTCTGTATGATCGAAATTACTTCAGAATGCGTTTTTCAAGGTTTAGCTAGCTTATACTCAAAGCAGGATAAGACAAAAGAATAGTTATGGTACTGTAAAAGCAGGGTTACAAAAGCAGTTTATTGACTGTATTAAAGGAGGAGAGCGCTAGTTAGAATGAATATTGACTAAAGACCATGATTACCTTTGGATACAGGCAATAACACATTTCATTGACTAATACAGGTGCAAGCACAGCTGTTAAACTGAGCTATGCCTTGTGACGGGGAGGTTAAAACAACATAATAATGGCTTTATGAATGTAGGCTTTTACTGGATTACCTGACACACTTTTCTGTTATATTTATTTAGAACCAAGTTTAGGAGTCCTTGTATGTGGGTATTCAATAAAGCAGGTACGTGTGCTTAATTTTTAGCTTCAGGGATGGAGTTTGAAACCTTTTATAGTTAGGTGATAGGTATGCACAGAACTGTTCAGCAGATTGGCAGAGCTGTGGTAGAATACAGTAATTTCACAACTATAAAGAGCACTGGATTATAAAGCGCACCGGATTATAAGGCGTACCTCGGGGAATCGGCAAAATTCCTAACTTTATACATTATATAAGGCGCACCAGACTGAAAGGCACACCTTTATTTTGCAGCGAGGGTCTGTGCCACATGCAAGAAAGTAACAAATTGGTAACAGAATCTTGTGATCCTGGAGTTTACTGGCAGGTGCTCAATTTGCAAACATTTTTCACAGATTGGTGTAGCCTTTAAACGCAGCCCCAAGCACCCTCCCCGTGCGCAGGCCCCAGCACTCCTGCCCACCCCCGGCTGGCGCGGCTCGGGGCGGCCACGGCTCACACCTTGGGGTTGCTGCGGTTCAAGGCAGCTCGGGGCCGCCACGGCTCGGGACTGCTCAGGGCAGCTCTGGGTGGCTCGGGGCCACCCGCAGCTCGGGGCAGCGCGGGGCTGCTCACGGTGTGGGGCGGCTCGGGACTGCCCAGGACTGCCCGTGGCTCGGGACCGCCAACAGCTCAGGGCAGCGCAGGGCTGCCCGCTCCCACCCTCCCCGTGCAGCTCCTGCTGGCCGGGGGCCGCTTGCCGCTGCCTGGTCCCGCCCACCCCGCGCTGCTGGCCGCAGCTCGGCACTCCCACACCCCCTCATGGCTCGGCGCTCCCATGACACCACCCCCACCTCGTGGCTCAGCTAATGACTCGCACTTCCGGGTTGGCAAATTTCGCAACTTTGTGCATTATATAAGGCGCACCAGACTATAAGGTGCACTTCTGGGTTCGGACCAAAATTTTAGTCAAAAGGGTGTGCCTTATAGTCATGAAATTGCTGTATATCCTGTTCATTCTTCAGGCGCACCATGGTGCTATGATGGAGGGAAGGCCAAGTAAAATCCTCCTCCATCAAAGCTGATGTTCAGAACCTTTCCAGTTAAAGACTGGAACTGAAATGAAGTCTGACATTTTATCTTTGAAATGGCTTAATAAGAAAGATCCTCTCTCATGGACTTGATGTTGTCAGGGTCACAAAACAGGTTTTTGTTATAAAAAATTTTACAACAGGTTTGTGAACTTGATGTGCCCTGATCAACACATTGCTATCAAGTTGTGCTGGTAACATGAGGGAGGATTTTTTCATTGCTTTGTTTTTGAAAGGGTAGGACTACTTTTCCATTGCTTTTATGCCTTGATATATTGTAATTGTGATCAATTTTGATCACAGAAATTAATTTTACCCATTAATTTGTTTCCAAACTCTGCAAGCATTTAAGTATAGAAACAGTATGATGTTTCAATCATTGAATACTTTCCACTCACTGTTTTATAGTATTGATTTGGATAGTTGAGGTAGGTTTTCTACATACATTGATAGATTTCAAATATATACTATACAATGTTTTTATTGCATACTTTGTATATATATATATATAAATAAAAATATATTGATATACAGAAAGATACTAATATATCTGTATCATACATACATACTGAATTCATACTGAAACTATTTTTAATTTCTCATTGAAAGAGATACAGTTGTGTAGATCCACTGTTTGGTTTATGTATGTGATCTGTCATGTACGTGATCAAACACTGTTCATATTTATGTGTGTATACATGGATTCCTTTGAATATGGCATTTTCTAGTAACAACATAAAATGAACCACCAATTAAATTTAAATTTAAACAATTTAAAAACAATTGTTTGTTAATTTCCTGTGTACTGAATGCATTTGAAATTTTGAGTTTGTGTATATGTCTACATCTAGTGTGTATGTCCTTGTCTATGTAAGTCAAATCTCTAGGCATTAAATAAAATAAATATGTGTTTAAAGAAAATTTTTTGGTTTTAAACCTTGACTATAGAACAGAAAATTATTCTTAAATTATTTTCCTATTAAGTAATTTAGTTTTGTAGAGCATTTTTTGTAAGTCATTGGGAGAAACCCTTAAACGCTGAAAATGTGCTGCTTATGGTGAGTCTGTCACTAAGTGCATTAGTTTAAATATTAGGTCAATGCTACACATGAAAGAAGGAAAGGCAAGACAAGATGTTTTCTGCAAAGAATAGAATGTAAGTATTAGGTGGTACAAAAATGCAAGAAAACTTACTGTCTTAGAATTCAGAAAGAGCACACTTGCAGAAATGATGAAAGTACATGAAAGTACAGACCAGAAGTTCCCAAACTTAGTAGGTATACGATCATCATCAGCCACTTCTGGCATCCAGTGTCACATGTTTTTCCAATCATGACAAATCAGAGCCTCATCTATGGCTCTTCTCCCACCATCCCTACTGCATGTTCCTATCATTCAAGCTAGGATTACAGTCCAATGCTCACATTTAAGCTTTCCTATCCGTTCTTGCACCCATAAGTTTGTTCTATATTTCAGACTTCAGTCACATCATTTTTCTTCCATATACCCATATCAACCTCTTCCAGAAGGGGAAATGTGGAACATTGGCTTCCCCTGCATGCATGTACCTCCTTCATCTTATTCTTCCTACTTCACCATGTCTTGGTCCTCTTTTCTTTCCTGAACCAGAAGTGCAGTCTTGGGGGGGACAGCGTTATGTTAAATGTTACAAACATTCATTATGTTGAATGTGGGTGGTGGCTGCAGTAGTTCCTAACTTTTCCCACAGGTTTTAAGGAAGCCAGGGGGCCATTGCTGTGCTGGCTGTATAGAAGCCATGAGACTCAGAAGCTGTGGCTCAGTTAAGTTTTGAATGTGGTACGGAAGCAGGCATAAGTGACATTTGCACTGCGCTTTGGCCACCTTTTTTATAGATGAGGAAGAAAAATCAGTAGCAGATAAGCGTGGAAAGGCAAGAGTAATTTTCATCAGAGACTAAAAAGGACGCATCTGCTTCTTCTAATAGAAAAGCTAAATCAGTGCAAAAATCCAAACAGATATTTCAGTCTGTTTTACATTAGTTTTGCTTGAGTCAATTTATCAGGAAAAAAACAAACCTTAAATTATAATAAATTATTCTTTCTTGTGCAGGCAAGCCCCGAGCCCTGTCTTTGGAAATCAGGAGTGACTGCAGTCTATTAAGTGTAATGCAAATAGATGAATTTTGCATAAGAGGCAGAAGCTTCAGTTGTTGAATCTGGCCCATGAAAAGTAGTTAAAACTAAACAAGATGAGCTTTGAATGGAAGCTTTTGAACAAATGGGAATTACATTAACAAGAACACAAGACTCATTTAATTGCATTCTTTGCTTGTATGTGAGAAAACAGACACCACATACGTGTCTGAAGCAGAGATGCTTTTGGAGCCTCTTGGAAAAGGAATGGAAGTAGGTCAACTGTTGACAGGAAATGGTTAATTTAAAAAACTTAATGTTTCATTATTTTCTCTAACATAGAGTGTATCATGGTTCTGAGCTCTGCAACATCCCTTCTAGTGTCTTCTGTGGAGCTTACAAAGAGGTACCTCAAGTTCAGAGTGGTTAGATGTAGTTAATATTTTCATTGCAGTTTAATCTTTGGGTTCTACAGAAGGTGCTATCAATATAAGATAATAAAATTCATTACCCCATTGCAACAGTAATATGCAGATTAATTACATCAGCCCTGTTACAGGTAGTCCTGAAAGAAGGCAAACAAATTTTTACCTGAGTGAAGTTTGGCTGTCTTGTTCACATATTCAGGATTAAATAGAGAAAATTATTTATTATGTAGAAAATAGCTCTTTTTTCCCCACCTTTTAAATT